GCACGGCCCCGGCGGGAGCAGTGCCAACCCCGGGGCCAGCACAGGGAACACGCCCTGGGAGCTGGGATGGCCTCAGCCCCTCATCCAAGGGGGAAATGGGGCAGGGTGTCCTCAGGAATGGCTCTTTCCTTCTGGTTGGGAAGCGTGGGTGACTGTGGAAGAAGCATCCTGGAAGGGTCTGTGCCCTCCTGGAGGAGGTGGCACGAGGGAACCGGCTCCACTCCTCTGTCTGACCTGGAAAGGAGGAAAATCCTGATTATCTGGGGTTTTTTTCTCTGCTGAGGGGACTGAAGAGCCCCTGGAGTGCCTCCTTTCTGCAAATAAGTGGATTAAAACAACTTGTCCTTTAGAGACCCAGCTCCTTCTTGGGAAAACCACAGCATTCCCAGGAGGAAAAGGTCCTTCTGCAGATGAGAAATCCTTGGAACCTGAAACCCGGAGGTGCCCAGGAGTGCAAAACCCAGCCCTGATCTGAGTGCTGCTCCCACCTCATGTGGGAGTGGGGCTGGGGAGGAGGAGGAGGATGCTCATTGGAGCTGTAGAACATTCCTAATCTGGCTGAATTCCCAGGAATGACAAAGAAATTATGGGCTTAAAAGACAGGTCACGTCAGGGAGCGTTGGGCACCTGGCAGTGCCCCCCCAGCTCTGCCGGGGGGGGGTGGGTTTGGGAGGACAGGTTAAATAAGGGGAACTGGCTGCTCTGAATAGTCCTGAGCCGAAGGAGAAGTCCCAGGACTCTGGATCCTTCCAGGAGGGCAGCAGTGGGTTGGAGTCTCCCTGCCTTTCCAGGTGGTTCCGGGGCTGCTCCCAGTTTGCTGTTTGTCCCTGGGCGGCTGTGCCGTGTCCTCACGTCCCTGGATGTGAAACTCCAGAGTGTGGAGGGGTTTAGGGGGGTCCTGCTGACCTTGGGTGACGTGTGGAGCCTGCTCCTGTCCCCCCTTCCCATTATCCAGGACAGCAGGGGCTGGGAGGGCACTTTCCCCCCCGCTCCGGATGTGCCGACGCTCACATTGTCCCCGGGAAAAAGTAACAATAATTAAAAATGGGGGTTGCTGAGGCAAACCTGGGGATGGTGGGATGGAGCCTGGAGCTGCTCCTGGCACGTGTCCTTTCTCTCTGGAGCCTGTGCCTGGCTGAGCTGGGTCAGCTGGGAGCTGGTGGATGCTTTCCAAACCCTCCTTCCGCAACCTGCTGTCCCCCGGGGCTGCCTGGGATGGAATCAGGGATGTGGAGCACAGCAGAGGAGCTCAATAGCCTCTCTGGAGCTGCTCTGGGAATGGAAGGAGTGTTAAAATCAGTTTTGAAATGAAAGTGGGGCTGTTCCCGTGTGAGAGGGACACACCGAGACCGTCTGTAAATCCAGCTGCGTTCACAAATCCCTCTGGAGCTCAGAGCCAGAGGGTGGAACTTTCCTTACTCTGTCAGCTCCAAAAGCTGCTCTCTGGGCTGACTTGCTGGGAAAGTCCTTGGGATCCTGGACTTTTGGGATCTTGGTGTCTGGGCTTGGGAAAGTGCTGTGGAGAATGGCACACCCAGCCGAGGGTGCCAGTCCCCCCCTGGAATCTCTTTGCCCTCCCTGTGCCATAATCATTAACCAGCCAAGGCCAGGTGTGCTGGGGACACTCTGCTGCTGCTCTGGGGCTCTGTTCCCACGGAATTCATCCTTAGAACCCTGGCAGAAGCCTGTTGCAGCTCCTTGTTCAGCTTCCTGGAGGTTTGAAGTGCTCTGGACAGTGCAGCCGGACAAGGGGATTGGTGTTGGGAGCATCCAGGGGTCCCTGGTGCCTCATTTGGGCCCTTTTTGGGATGTGGGGCTGTACCAGCAGGGCCGATGCTCCCTCAGCTCCAGCTCTGGAAGGGGTGGATTGAGCTGAAAACGAGCATCTGTTGCTGGGAAGTGCCAGATCCATGTGGGAATGACACGGTGGCTCCAGCTTCCCCAAGGGATCAGAGTATCCTCCTAGCTTGGAGGTGTGACTGGGAGCAGCAGTGCCCTGTGAGAACTTGGCGGGAGACGGTGGATCCTGGTGTTTTCCTACAGGACACCTCCCCAAATCCCTGCTGTTCCAAGGCTGTTTGGCTCCCCCAGCCCCTTATCCACATCTCCTCCTTTTCCGGGATAGCGACCCTGGAAACCCCTCGGCTCCAGTCCTGTGCAGGGAAGTGGCTCCCGCCTTGTTTTCCCTCCTTGGCCACGAATTCCTGGGACAAAAAAATATTTTCCTTGCTCTCAACCCCTCGTGCTCCACCCGCTTGGAGAAACCTCTTCCAGCAGGATGAGGCTGGGGATGCGACTCCCAGAGCGCAGGGAGCCGCAGCCTCCAGCCGGGAATGCCAGTTCCGGTGCCGGTGGCAGCCCAGGGATTAGGAGATTTGCTCTGCCTCCTTAATGCAGCTGCAGCACGTGGGGGGCTCCGGTCACGCACTCTGCTCCGGAGCCTTTCCCGGCCTCCCTGCCGGCCCTGCGGGAACGTCCCGGTCTCCCAGGGCTTGGATGTGCCCCTGGCTGCTCGGGCTCGGGAGCTGCCCGTGGTGTTGGAGGATAATTTTAGCCAGGGCAGATTTCGCTAAGCTGGGGAGTTGGGCTGAGCCTGGTAAAGCCCCGGCCGGGATTACCGGGGGTGATTCAGCACTCGGGTGTTTTGCTTTCCCCTTGGATTCCATCCCGCCGTTCCCGTGTTCCCCCAAGGGCTGTTCCTCCTGCCAGGGGGGCTGTGCCTTGGAGCTGGCTCAGCACCCACGGCCGGTGCTCTGAGGGGGTGAGGGAAGATCGTCCTGTGGATGTTGTGGGATCAGGGAGCACAACAGCCCTCCATCCCCATCCTCTCCTTCCCAACACATCCCAAACTTTGCTCCATGAGAGCATCCAGGCAGCATATTTCCCTGCCGGGAAGTGCCCTATCCCAGGATTCCCACATCCAGGACAGACAGACCTGCACCCTGGGCTGGAGCGCCCTGGGCTGTCTGTGCCTTGTCTCATTTTTCCCTCCTGGATTCACCTCTTCCTGAGAAGGAGGGAATTCCCCAGCTGACACTCGAGGCTGTTCCAATGCCAGCACCTGGTTTATGGGTGGAGGTTTTATTCCCTCTGGTTTGATGAGCTGCCAGAGGAAGAGCTTGGTGTGAAGGGATGGGAATCTTGTCCTGGAATTGCTGAGATTTTTCCCTCCCTGGAAATGCCCGCCAGGAATATGCTGGCACAGAGGTGGCACAACCCCTTCCCAGAGTGTCCAGGAAGGATTGATCCAAGAAATATAATTCCTTGTTGGGAAATGTGGAGACACTGCTGGTACCTGTCTGGAAGTGCTTCTGCCCCTCTTATCCCACCAGCTCTCCCATGGGAATGGGGGTTGTGGTGTCCTCTGGATCCTCCTTCTACTCTACATGGGAATGGGAGTTGTGAGACCCTCTGGATCCTCTCTCTGCTTTCCTGTGGGAATGGGAGTTGTAGTGCCCTCTGGATCCTCCCATTGCTCTCCCATGGGAATGGGGGTTGTGATTCCTTCTGGATCCTCCCTCTGCACCAAACTACCTCAAACAGTTGGGAAATGAAACCCCCAAACTCCATTTAGCATTCCCATTCCTTCCACTGATACAAGTTCAAGCAAGTAGTGTCAGAATCCAACTGGAATGTGCTGGGAGGTCCGGTCTGGGAAGCAGATCCATGTCCAGGATGGAGGAGCTGCTACCTTTCAGCAGGAGCACCCCCAGGAATGCCTGGGATGCTTGTCTGGTGGTGGATCTGATCCGTGCTGGGCTGTTCCTGGAGTCCCACATCATCCCACTTGTCCTGTGTCCCCTCCTGAGGGAATCCCACACTGCTTTTGGCCCATCCTCTGGGATTCTGCAGGATCCATAGCTCCATTTTCCACCCCAAAAAGCCATGCTGGTGCTGCACCTCCCCTGCTCAGATTCCTCCTTTCTGGAATGGATCATCCCAACTAAATCCTTCCATTCCTCTCCTCTCCAAGGCTGTTTCCCACATCAAAGCTTTCAGGGAGTTTTGGGGATGGCTGTGGCCTGGGAAACCCCTCCTGGAGGCCCTGGTGGGCTGTCTCTTCCCCTCCTCTTGGTTTATCCGGGATCCCCTCGAGGTCTCCTGGGGGTGCTTTGTGAATCCCACTCCTGCCACGATGTCTCATCCCTGGGAAGTGGCAGAATTAAATCCTGGAGAGACACAATCCGAGGGTTCTCTGTTGGGGTCTCTCCTGCATTGCAGCATTCCAAGGAGGGGGCTCCAGGGTGGATTCCCTGCTGCCTTCCCTAATTCCCTTTCCCTTCCGTTGTCTTTCCCTGGCAGGAGCAGCAGTGAGTCCCTTTGCACCTCACACCGGGCGAGTGCAGCAGTTTTGGGTTATTTCCCCCCCTTTTAATGAGTTACATTTGCTGATCCAGTGGAAGTGCTGGAGCCCGGAGTTGCCTCTGGCCCAGAAAGGAAGGAGGGGTGGCTCTTTTGGGGGATCCTCTTCCAATGGAAACATTTCCTGCCGAGGAGGGTGGAAGCCAATGCAATGTCAACTTCTCTTTGTTGAAATGTTCTCTCCTGCCCAGGTTTCAGTGTCAGTTTTGGAGGGATGTGCTGTGTTTTTAACCTGGGGGATGCTCTGCTCCTGGGGAGGAACCTGGAAGCACCAGGGATCTGCGGGGACCGTCCCAGCTTTCTTGCTGCTGAAGTTTTTGGGCAGAAATCTGGCGGAATTGGGGCATGGATTTGGGTTGGACAAGTGTGACCCTTAAAGGAGCCTCCTGGAGCTGGGAATGGGTTAAAGGGGAGGTTCCTGGATGCTCTTTTTACCTTCAGGTGTTGTGTCAGACCTGCTTTAACTTTCGAGTTGGATCAGGCAGAGGGTCCAAATCGAGGGGTTGGATTTTGGGATCTGCAGCCTTGTTGTGTTTGGTGACGTTATTTTTTGTGACTGGGGCAGCCCAGGTGGACTGAAGGGATCCATGGGCAGCCACGGAAGGTGTCATGCCCTGAGGGTCACCCCCTGATCCAGCACTTCTTCCCTTTGCTCCCAGCAAATCCAGTTTGCAGATGACATGCAGGAGTTCACCAAATTCCCGACCAAGACGGGCCGGCGCTCCCTGTCCCGCTCCATCTCCCAGTCTTCCACAGACAGCTACAGCTCTGGTAGGTGCCAGGTCCTTGCCCCTGTATGTCCCATATCCCAAATCCGGCCCTGGTGCCACTGGGAATGTGCTGCTCACACCCTGTGGTGGGATTGGTGCCGCTCTTTGCACTTGGACACGGAGGGGATGGTTCCCGAGGCTCAGGCATTGATTACTTTTTGATAACTCTGCTGTTGTAGAGAACAGGAGTGCAAAATTCCTTCAGGATGTTGGCCTTCCTTAGGAGATTGGTAGTTTGAGCCATGAGTGAAAGCTGGGAAGGGAAACAGAGCAGAAACCTGAGGGATGGGAGGTCCCTGCGTTCATAAGACCTGGATTCAGAAGATATTCCCCCCTTCCTTTTAGCCAGAGGGTTTCTTTGGCATTCCCAGCTGTCCTGAGCAGGGGCAGATCCTTCATCCCACACTCCCCCCACCAGCACAGGGGGCTCAGGGCTCTTGCAGCAGCATGTGGAACTCCATCCCTCTCCTCACTGGAAAACTGGAGTGCAGCTCTCCAGGCCAACACCCACAGCGAGCCCTGCCCCAACTGCTCAGTCCTGATCGGAGTTGGAGGTGCTGCTGGACACAAAACACCTCAGAGAGCCCCTCCCTGACCGCCCAGCTCCCACCAGGGTCTGTCCCCTGCCAGGGAGGGCACCCTGGGATCCATCCCACACCCAAAGGGGGAAGCAGTGAGGGTGGACAGGCTGGGAGACTGGGGGTGTTCAGCTTGGAGGAGAGAAAACTCCAGGGAGATCTTCAAACCCCTTCCAGTGCCTGAAGGGGCTCCAGGAGAGCTGGAGAGGACAAGGGATGGACAGACAGGACAAGGGGGAATGGCTTCCCACTGCTAGGGTTAGATGGGATACTGGGGAGAAATCCTTCCTGTGAGTGTGGTGCGGGGCTGGGATGGGATTCCCAGAGAAGCTGTGGCTGCCCCATCCCTGGAAGTGTCCAAGGCCAGGTTGGACGGGGCTTGGAGCGACCTGGGCGGGTGGGAGTTGTCCCTGCCCGTGGCAGGGGTGGGACGGGCTGAGCTCTGAGGTCTCTCCCCTCTGGGGTAGCTGCATCCTACACAGACAGCTCCGATGACGAGGTGTCCCCCCGGGAGAAGCAACAAACCAACTCCAAGGGCAGCAGCAATTTCTGTGTGAAGAACATCAAACAGGCCGAGTTCGGGCGCCGGGAGATCGAGATCGCGGAGCAAGGTACGGCTGGAATGTTGGCATTATGGGATCTGGGGCAGACCAGGAGCTGAGCCCTGGGGATTCCCACTCCTGCTCCAGCCTTGGAGAGCCTGTTTTCCCCCTCAGATCAGTCAGGGAAGAGCTGGATGTGCCAGCAGACGTTGGTGCCCTGTCACAGCCATTTTCGAGCCCTTGTGGGGCTGAATGTTGGTGGCTTTGGGTGGACAAGGATCTTGGAACATTTATGGAAACCGGGAGCCCCAAGCCCTTCCCACGAGGCTCGTGGGAAGCCGAGTTCCCATTTCCAGTGGGGTGATTGGATGACACTGCTCTCCCGTTAGAAGGGGGAGGTAATCCAGGCCCGTTTGGAGCAGCTCCTGAGGTGTGGCAGCTCCGGGGTCACCCCTGGGTGCTCCGAGGGCTGTGGCTGTCCCCGGTGCCTCCCGGGGCAGAGCCAGGCCCACCCCTCTCTCCTGGCGTGGCCAAGTGACAAATGACCCCGTGGTTGGTCCCGTTTGGCACAGCCCAGGCACGGGGAGTTTGCTCCCGGGCTGTGGAACAGCTCCAGCACAGGTGGTGGGGCCGGAGGGACCCTGGGAGAGCCCAAAAGTGGGAGAGGAGCTCCAGCAGCTCCGGACAGAGCCGGCATTAACCCCTCTCTTCCTTTTGCAGACATGTCTGCTCTGATTTCACTCAGGAAAAGAGCCCAGGGGGAGAAGCCTTTGGCTGGAGCCAAGATCGTGGGCTGCACCCACATCACGGCCCAGACCGCGGTGAGTCCCGGGGAGAGCCCCCCTGTTCCCTGGGGAACAGAATCCCAGCCTTGGGAAAGGGATGAGGCACCTTCAGAACTCCAGGAACACTTTGGGAAGTGCTGCAGCCTTTCCCCAGGAGCTGATCTGGGATCGGTTCCTGTGCCTGTCACTGCTGCCCCAGGCCTTCCATGATCCTGGGGTGTCCCTGATCCCAGGGTATCCCTGATCCCAGGGTATCCCTGATCCCTGGGGTATCCTGATCCCTGGGTATCCTCTATCCCTGGGGTATCCCTGATCCCTGGATATCTCTGATCCCAGGATATCCCTGATCCCTGGGATATCCCTGATCCCTGTGGTATCCCTGATCCCTGGGATATCCCTGATCCCTGCCCCTGTTCCCAGGTGCTGATTGAGATGCTCTGTGCTCTGGGTGTCTCTGTATCCCTGTATCCCTGTATTCCTGATCCCTGATCCCTGTATCCCTCATCCCTGATCCCTGATCCCTGATCCTTGTATCCCTCTCCAGGTTCTCATCGAGACGCTCTGTGCCCTGGGTGTCCCTGATCCCTGTATCCCTGTATCCCTGTATCCCTGATCCCTGTATCCCTGATCCCTGCCCCCGTTCCCAGGTGCTGATCGAGATGCTCTGTGCCCTGGGTGTCTCTGTATCCCTGTATCCCTGTTTCCCTGATCCCTGGATCCCTGGATCCCTGATCCCTGTTTCCCTCTCCAGGTGCTGATAGAGATGCTCTGTGCCCTGGGTGTCCCTGATCCCTGATCCCTGATCCCTGATCCCTGTTTCCCTGATCCCTGATCCCTGTTTCCCTCCCCAGGTGCTGATAGAGACCCTCTGTGCCCTGGGTGTCCCTGTATATCCCTGATCCCTGTATCCCTGTTTCCCTGATCCCTGTTTCCCTCTCCAGGTGCTCATCGAGACGCTCTGTGCCCTGGGTGCCCCTGTATATCCCTGTATCCCTGATCCCTGATCCCTGATCCCTGTTTCCCTGATCCCTGATCCCTGTTTCCCTCCCCAGGTGCTGATAGAGACGCTCTGTGCCCTGGGTGTCCCTGATCCCTGAATCCCTGTTTCCCTGATCCCTGTTTCCCTCCCCAGGTGCTCATCGAGACCCTCTGTGCCCTGGGTGCCCCTGTATCCCTGATCCCTGTATCCCTGATCCCTGTATCCCTGTATCCCTGATCCCTGATCCCTGTTTCCCTCCCCAGGTGCTCATCGAGACCCTCTGTGCCCTGGGTGTCCCTGTATATCCCTGATCCCTGTATCCCTGTATCCCTGTTTCCCTGATCCCTGTTTCCCTCCCCAGGTGCTGATAGAGACCCTCTGTGCCCTGGGTGTCCCTGTATATCCCTGTATCCCTGATCCCTGATCCCTGTTTCCCTCCCCAGGTGCTCATCGAGACCCTCTGTGCCCTGGGTGTCCCTGTATATCCCTGTATCCCTGTTTCCCTGATCCCTGTTTCCCTCCCCAGGTGCTCATCGAGACCCTCTGTGCCCTGGGTGCCCAGTGCCGCTGGGCCGCCTGTAACATTTACTCCACA